CCTCCTCCTCCCCCTGCACTGCCACGTGAGACCCCTCCTCCTTCCCCTGCACTGCCACGTGAGATCCCCCTCCTCCTCCTCCCCCTGCACTGCCACGCGAGATTCCCCCTCCTCCCCCTGCACTGCCACGTGAGACCCCTCCTCCTCCTCTCCCTGCACTGCCACGTGAGATCTCCTCTCTCCTGCACTGCCACGCGAGGCCTTCTTCTCTTCAGGCCTCACCCCTCCCACCCCGGCACCCTCACTTCCTGTGCTGCTGTGTGCAGCTGCGTGTAGACTGAGAACATCGGTGCTCGTGACACCGTCAAGAAGCCTGATTTGAGGTGGGAAAGTGTGGTTGTTGTCAGAGAGCATCACCGTGACGGCAGCTCTGTCTGCCCGTGGAGAGGAGGAGCACCGCACCCCCCACAGCTGTGCCTCGGCTATGGTTGGAGGGGGTGTTTGCCAGGTGTCTGGGGGAGGCACCCCGAGAAGCTTGGGGTGCACACACACACCGATGGACCTGGGTCCGCGGGGCCGACGGGCTGGAGAACCATTCCCCCCGCAGAGCGGTGTTGGCCACAGGGGCCCGTTGTCCCCGAGGTCAGCAGTCAGGGCCACGTGTGACCCGTGTCTCCTTTCGCAGTGCGGGAACATGGCCCGGGAAGGCCTGCGCACCCTCGTGGTCGCCAAGCGGGCGCTGACGGAGGAGCAGTACCAGGACTTCGAGGTGAGCCAGCCCCCGCGGGCACCCACCTTGCCTGACCCCAGGGAGAGGGGTGTCTCCTTCCTGCCCCCTCCCCGACCCGCCCGGCCTGTGTCTCCTTAGAGCCGCTACAGTCAGGCCAAGCTGAGCCTCCACGACCGGGCGCTCAAGGTGGCGGCCGTGATCGAGAGCCTGGAGCGCGAGATGGAGCTGCTGTGTCTCACGGGCGTGGAGGACCAGCTGCAGGCGGACGTGAGGCCCACCCTGGAGATGCTGCGCAACGCGGGCATCAAGGTGGGCGTACCGCCATGACAGGGGGGCGGGGGCAGGATGGCTTCCTCTGCCACCACAGTCGCCCCCGCCCCCTGCCTGCCGCCCACACCCAGACCGAAGTTTGTCTTTCTAGCCGCCAGCCACCCTGCCCATCTCTCCCCTACCCCCACCCCAGCCCTTCCCTGCCCTGCATCTACCCCACGTACCCCCTACCTAACCCCCCACTGCCCTTCCCTGCCCCTACCCTCCCTACTCTACCCACCCGACCCTGTCGTACCCCACCAGACCCGGCCCCACCTCTCCCCTTGCCTTTCCTGCCCTGCCTCCGCCCTTCCCTACCCCACCCTCCCCTACCCTTCCCTTGCCCTGGACATGCCTGCCCACCGGGCATCTTGGTCTCTCGAGACTTTAGTGGCCCTGGGCATCCATCGGGTGTGAGCTCAGGACAGTCCAGGCCACGCGTACAAGTGTCTCTGTGTACGGATAGGCACTTGTGAGAGACGAATGTGTGGTAGCGTCAAAGCTCACCACCGTCACTGGTCCCCTAGATATGGATGCTGACAGGCGACAAGCTGGAGACGGCCACCTGCATTGCCAAAAGCTCACACTTGGTGTCCAGGACCCAAGACATCCACGTGTTCAGACCAGTGAGTGTTTGCAAGCTCTTTGGTTTTAAATGTCTTATCTCACACCTAAAACCTATTGGTTTTGTGAGGATATATGTGCAATTATGTATAATTACATAATTATTAAATTATGTAATACCTAAATACCTCTGTTAAAAGAAGAATATCGTCATTTTCTTACTCCATCTATAAAAACATTGAAAATAGGTTACTGTTAGCCGCCTACCTCATGATGAAAAAGCTACATTTTAATGGAGAGAAAGAAGGCCTAAATTCACAGGTACTTTTCTGTCGTCCTAGGAGATTCATTTCTTCACCGAGTGTCTATTTTAACACAGACACACCCTGCATTCATTTCCTACTCAATTTACAAAGTGTATGTTGATAAAATTACATTTTGTATTAGTTATACCCTTAGTGAGAATGCATCCTTAATCTACTACAGTTTTCAAATGAAATGTGGTTCCTTCATTATTTCAAACAAAATTAATAAAATGGTCTGAGGTTCATGATTCCTGTATGTATTATGACCGTTTGTAATTGAAACAAAAATGAAATTTCCCGGCTCTTGGCTGCCGATGAGAGCAGACGGCTGTGTCTGCCTCTGTGCTAGCACCTACGGAGAGGGTGATCTCACTATAATTTACATGTAAATGTCATTTATTTCGAAGCATCAGAATCACAAATTAGGCCCTGCAGACGATTGTTTGCAATTAAATTATTAATGATTCTGATACAACTTTAGATCAATTTTGGTTGGCTTTCCAGTGTTACAGCCACACAAATTAAAATTTCCACAGTACAGCCTACCTGTTCAAAGATGAGTCTGAGATTAACTTGGACCATGTGAAACTTGCATCTCAATCGGCAACGTCTCGTTTCTTTTATGCCCCATAATATCTCCGCAGAAAAGAATGTCAAAAACCAGAACCGTGGTTTCTGAAGCGTTTTCATTCTAAAATTAATGCCGTATCAGGACTGTCACAGTTTTACTCCTTTGCGTGTTTGCTTTAACTAATGGAATACGCTGAACCCCAGGTCAGAGGGAGCAGAAGCGTTTTGTAAAAACATTGCGCGTCACTGGCGTATTGTGAAAAGAGGCACCTTCACATGAAGTCCTGGTGTTAGACCACTGTCCCTCCCTGCCGTGGGGCCGCCTGCGCTCTGGCGGGGTGCGCATTGCAGCCTGATTCTCCAGCACGGTGTCCCTGAGTTTCCCTAGCCAGCACCTGTCGCTCTGAAAGTAGTGGCAACACCTGGCGTGGTCACCGTGCTCCCTCTCGGGAACACCCCGCTGCCAGCACCACAGCACGTGTTCGTGCGCGGCCTATCCTGTGTCTTGACGAGCCAGCATCCCCTCACCTGACCCGTTGCGGTCGTGGTCACAGACTGGGCGATGGTGCTCACGGGCCGGGCTGCACGTGTCAGGCAGCTTTTGATTTTAAATCACGTGTCTGAAGACATTGCCGTGATTCATACACACGGGCTGTTTGTCCCTCTGACGTGGATAACACCGTAACGCAGGTGCTTTTTTCTCTTCCGTGGAGGTGACCACTCGTGGGGAGGCCCACCTGGAGCTTAACGCCTTCCGCAGGAAGCATGACTGTGCGCTGGTCATTCCCGGGGACTCCCTGGAGGTGAGGCTGCTCTCAGGTCGAGAGCGGGTCCATCCGTCTGTCTGTCTCCTTCTCCCCGCCCCCCGTCCCCGTGGACTAGCAGTCTCCTGGGTCCCGTGTGCCTCTCACGTGCCTGCAGCGTAAGCTGCTTCTCTCATAGCAGGGTCTGTGCGACCCTGTGAGCGCCTGCAGGCCCAGGGGCAGCGTGCTCCCTAGTATCTCAGAGGTCGCTCCTCCTGGCCTTGCTCAAAGTCCTTTGGGGGCGCCAGGCTTTGTTCTCACGGTTAACAGCACAGCTGCCTGGGGAGCCTCCAGCGGGGGGCCCACAGTCTTGACCTAAAGGCACCCAGACCAGTATTTCCGGGAGTGTGCCCTGGTCACGGGAGATGGGCGGGCGGCCCCGCAGGAGACACAGGTGCTGCTGTCCTTTCTGGAACCGCGTTCACCCCGAGGCAGGTTCTGAGCCCCGAGTCCCTGACCTCCATCCTGGTTCCCGCCCCAGGGGACACACCCGGGCTTTGTCGAGGCAGGACTTCGGCGGTTCTGTGTGTCTGGCTGTGCGCGGGCACCTCCCTGACCCTCGGCCCCTGGTGTCTGGGGGGGCGGCTCCTGCAAGCTCCGCATCCCAGGCGGGCGGGGCGGCCGTGGCCCAGGGAGGAGGGCCCCAGGGGTGCTCCCGGCACGAGGCGCTCAGCCGTGGCCCCTGCGGGCTGCGCCGCTGTCTTGCAGGTGTGCCTGAAGTACTACGAGCACGAGCTGGCGGAGCTGGCGTGCCAGTGCCCGGCCGTGGTGTGCTGCCGCTGCTCGCCCACCCAGAAGGCCCGTGTCGTGAAGCTGCTGCAGCGCCACACGGGGCGGCGCACGTGTGCTGTCGGTGAGCCTCCCGCCGCCGGGCCCAGGCCCCACGGGCAACGGCCCCTAGCGGTGCCCAGGCTCTCGCGCCACCTCACGCTTCTGTGCCTGCAGGGGACGGGGGAAACGACGTGAGCATGATCCAGGCGGCCGACTGCGGGATTGGGATCGAAGGGAAGGTATGTGCCCCTCGGTCCTTGCGGCTGTCCCTGAGCAGCCCCTTCGGTCGTGCGGGGGGAGAGCGGAGCCCGCCAGCGCCCTCCCGCATCCTGCTGACCGTTAGGAGGCGTGTGGGACCAGCAGCCTCCTGTCGCCAGCAAACCTCTCCTGCCGCCCGGCACCCCGGCCTCCCTCCCGGGCGCAGAGCTGTGGCCGGGGGTTTGTCTTGTGCGTGAAGGAGCCCGGTTCATATCTCCCTTCCCCCAACGGCTATGCATCACGTGCCCCATTTAAAGTACCGTCCCCGCCCGCCCCGCACACTCCCCACAGCTCTGTCCCGTGGCCAGAGGCCGGCCAGAGACCCCAGGGCCACCTTCCAGGCCTGGTTCCTGCAGGGCCCACGGGCCCCTGTGGCGGCTACGCCTGTCCCCTCCAGGGCTGCGGGGAAAAGTGTCAGTCCCGGGCGGCGGAGGCGGACGCGGGTGGCAGAAGTGCGCGGCGCAGCGTGCTTGAGCGGGCGCCCTGCCCGTTGCAGGAAGGCAAGCAGGCGTCCCTGGCGGCGGACTTCTCCATCACGCAGTTCCGGCACATCGGCAGGCTGCTGATGGTCCACGGTCGGAGCAGCTACAAGAGGTCGGCGGCGCTGGGCCAGTTCGTCATGCACCGCGGCCTCATCATCTCCACCATGCAGGTAGCGGGGCCCACCGCTCGGCGCTCGGTCCGGCCGCAGGGAGGGCGGGGGGCGGGACTGACGGCGCTTCCTCTCTGGCAGGCCGTGTTTTCCTCTGTCTTCTACTTCGCATCCGTCCCTCTGTACCAAGGATTCCTCATGGTGGGGTGAGTGACCGTCGCGGGCAGCGCCCCCCCCCCGCCCCCGGGAGGACCTGTACTTGCACAAACAAGTGCAAGTCCGTGTGACTCCGCACAGCCACACCGGGTTGGACCCTCGTGCTGTCTTCCCGTCGTCTTCTGAGCAGGACAGGTGCTTCCTGGGGGCGTCCGGGGCGCAGTGAGGGGGGTGGGGGATGGTGACGCCTCACGGGCTGGGGCGGGGTGTACATGCGGGGGACGTGTCCAGTGATGGCCCCACGGCAGAGGCCCGGGCACAGACGTGCAGGGTCGGGACGTAGCGCACCCAGACCCGTGAGCGTCCCCCCCGCCAGCCACTGCATCCCCAGGTTCCCCCGCGGCAGCGAGCGCCCTGTGCACACAGCTTATAATTGAACCATTGGTTTTGCCTATCGAGCCTGGAAAGCAACAGTTTTCTGTTACAAATGAATGAATTGGAGCTTCTCGTTCCTCGTCCTGCCGAGTTACGCCAGGAAAGAAAAGCCGCACGGCCGTTGGCGTGGCGGTGAAGTCCAGGCCGTGCCTCCAGGCGCTCGCGGAGCCCAGCACCCGCTGCCCTGCACCGCCCTCGTGTGGTCGCTCCCCGCGCTCCGTCGCTGTGACGCAGGCCTCGCCACCTCCCCATGTCACGGGCAAGGAAGGACACGCCCAGGGGCCCAGGGAACGTGCCAGAGAGGCAGAGCGGGGGCCTCCCGCACGCGGCGTTTAGCGGCTTTCCGGGGCAGTGGAGAATGAGCACGCAAGCTGTTTTGGCTCTTGGAGTTGTTTTAAGTACACATTCTGAGTACATTTCACCGACAGGCCCCCAAATCCCGAGGTTCCGGGTGATTTGAGAGACTGGGAGCACCAGGCCGCCCGCCAGGCTCCGCTGGGATCACCCACCAGCTTCCCAGCACGAGGCTGACGGCAGCCGCCTCATGCCCTTCCTGAAGCTGCATCCGCTGGGCAGCCAGGGGCGGGCGGACCTGGGCGCCGCTCCGGGGCCTGCGCCGGGTCGCGCTGGGCCCTCCCTCCGGCTTCCGTGGCCTGGGGCTTTGCACCTGCTGCCTTGCTCCACCTGGTCTCGGCGGAGTCCGCCAGGGAGCCGAGGGGCACCCAGCCCTGGCGAAGCCTGGGCTCTCCTGCAGGTCACCGGGCCAGCTGTGCGGTCCAGCATCCCTCCCGGGGGACAGGGCGGGGACGGTGCCAGGTACTGGCACCCAGAGCACCACACAAGCAGGGAGACCCTGGAGGTGCCAAAGGCTCTGGCGCCGTTTCCCATTTTCCCGTTGCCGTGGCCTCTGCGACACGTGTCCTGTGACTTAGTGTCAAAGCATGGGCTCTGCACACAACGTTGTTACCGCTGGACTGTGTCCCTGGAGGCCAGAGAAATCCAGTTCCCGCCTGCTTTCGTGCTGCGAAACTGTGGACTTGAAGTGTGCAGAGGGGAACTTACGGACCGCGGTGGTGGCTTCCTGCGTAACAACCGCGTGAGTTGACGAAACCATAGCCATGGGCCTGCCTGCTCTCGTGGGCCCCTCCACAGCCGCGCCCTGTCGGCAGAAGCTCACACTGCTGTTGGCTCTTGTACAGAGTTAGTTTCTCTGCAGCCCACGAGAGGCATCCGGAATTTTCTTGGGCATCAGTGTGCTGAGGCTGGTAGCAGCCAAGGAGGGGTGCTTTTGCGTTAAGCTTCTTAGAAAGTAAACAGAAAGTCAGTTTTGCTGTCACCTAGCAAACAGCAGTCAGAAGTGGGTGGGAAGGAGAGCGATGTTTTTATCCGGCGAAGTCTAACACGACCTAGGTAACGTCGTAAGGTCGGAAGCGCAGCCACAGAAACCGTGGGACACTTGGTAGAATTCAGCTCAGAATATTCCGAGGCTTTTTCTCACTTCTCGTCAACTCGGCAGGCGCACCTGGAGGTCCGTGCGTCCCGGAGGCGAGGCAGCCGCGGGCGCCCCCGTCTCACGCAGATCCTGGAAGAGGCCGCGCCCGCCCTTCCAGAAAGCTCCCCTCAGCAGCACCCAGGGGACCCGGCGTCCACAGCCCTGCCCAGAGGCTCAGCAGCGGGCGGCAGTCTCCGCGAGGCGCCCGGCGAAGAGCCTGTGCCGCGGTGCCCGGCCCTGCCGGCGTCTCCTGTCCGAGCAGCGTCCCTGGGGCCCTGCCGCGTCGGTTAGCGGGTCCCTCATGTGACGGCCACGCTGGTGGCACCTGGTGCCCGTGTCTGCAGGCGCTGCAGGGGTGCGGGGAGCCGCTGTGCCCGTCAGCCCCTAAGTCTGCGGGGGTGAGAGTTGTTCCCAGAAGGTTGACAAAAATAACTAGAAATTTGGAGGAAAGTTAGGACCTTCAACCAGTTTAACTGAACACAGAGGTGAAAGGTTGGACCTGCGGGCAGCTCCCTGTGAGCCCCTGGCCTCCGCCAGCCCCGGACGACAGACCGCAGCCGGAAACACCCTCCCTGGAAGGTCCCCTCCGGGCCGCGTGACCCTGGGGCCCCGGGTCTCCCGCCGCCGCTGGGTAACCTCCCACCTCGGACTTTCTCACGGCTGAAAACGTCATTGAAAAGAAATCCGGCCGTATTTCGGGAAAGATGGGCCAGAGGTATTTTTCTTCATTCCTCCTGCTGAGCAGAACCAGAATCCAGCAGACCTCGTACCCAGAACATGCGAGCGGAGGCGTGAAGGGGCTGAGGGCCTGGGGCAGCCCCGGGGTCCTCGGAGGAGCCGGCTGCTGGGATGGGCCGGGCCCGGGGAGGAGGACCCCCAGCAGCCTGTGCCCCTCGAGGAGGGGGTGACCGGCCGGACAGGGAGGCTCCCCGCAGCAGCCCCTGCACCCGCCCCCGCCTCCCTGCAAAGTGCAGTAATGAGCAGCCCTCGGCCGTCGCGCAGGAAGGAACGCAGGAGGCGGGGTGGGGGTGGGGGTAGCGGTGCCCGGGGACCCAGCTGCTCGGCACCCGGGCGTCCGGGTTTCAGGAACCAGGAAGGGACGCGGCCCTGAGGCGCCGGGGTTGGTCACGCCAGGCGGGGGTGCGGGGCGGCCGTGCAGAACTGCTGAACGAGCAGCCGGCACGCTCAGAACCAACGGAAACCGAAGACGTGTCGGCCGAGGCGGGGGATGTGGAGCAGGGCCCGTCGCCGGGCAGGGCGGTCAGCCCGGAGACCCCAGCCCGCGGCGCTCCGGCCTTGTGCCCCTGGGGCCCGGAGGGAGGACAGAGGTCAGAGCTGGGAACCCCCAGACGTGGTCCACGGAAGAAACCCGCAGCATGAGCCTCACCCTGAGGCGCCAGAAGGGAAGCCCTGGGAGTCGCGGGGGTGGGGGGGGCGCGGCCGCGGACGGCGGTTCTCAGCAGGACCCGGCGGGAGGGAGGGCGTCGGCTGCGCTGCTGCTGCTGTTGGTTCTGACCCGGTCGGTGCCCACGGGACACCCTGGCCGTGAGACGGGGTGCAGGCGTGCGAGATGCCACCGCCGGGAAAATGGGGTGAGGGGCGCGGGGCTCTCTGTTTCCCACAACTGCCTGTGGGTCTACGGAGACCTCAAAATACAAAGTTTGAGAAAGAAAGAAAATACTTGTGTGAGCATTTGTTCCTGCAGACCGTGTCATCGTGCTGCGGGCAGGTATTAAGTCTCAGGGAAACGTCGTAGCTGGTTTGCAGGTCAGGATTTGCAGCGTCGGCCTCTGATGGCACAGCCGTGTTGACCGCGGTGCACGCTCCTCACACGCACCTGACTCTGTCGGTTTGAAGGTATGCGACCATATACACCATGTTCCCGGTGTTCTCGCTGGTGCTGGACCAAGACGTGAAGCCGGAGATGGCGATGCTGTACCCGGAGCTGTACAAGGACCTGACCAAGGTACGGTACGGGCACCCGGGGGGGCGGGCCGTTCGCTGTGAGGGCACCCGGGGGGGCGGGGCGTTCGCTGTGAGGGCACGCGCCGGGGGGGCGGGGCGTTCGCAGTGAGGGCACGCGCCGGGGGGGCGGGGCGTTCGCTGTGAGGGCACGCGCCGGGAGGGCGGGGCGTTCGCTGTGGGCACGCGCCGGGCGGGCGGGGCGTTCGCTGTGAGGGCACGCGCCGGGGGGGCGGGGCGTTCGCTGTGAGGGCACGCGCCGGGGGGGCGGGGCGTTCGCTGTGAGGGCACGCGCCGGGGGGGCGGGGCGTTCGCTGTGGGCACGCGCCGGGCGGGCGGGTGCCATTCCCAGGTGGGTTCTGCGTAGTCTGCTCTCCACACTTCCAGACGTTTTTCACTTATAGTTGTTTCTAACGTCCTCCCTTTGACTTAAACTTGAGAAGGGAAAACTCTCCTCAGACGCGTGCAGCCAAGCTCCGGTGTCCTGCGCACGTACAGTTCTGATCGTAAAGACGCTCTGAAGCGCTGGCGGGACTTCGGGCAGCTCAGCAGATGGGCCCGGTCTCCAGGGGCCGCCGCGCGCTCGCTGCCTGTTCTTGTGGGAAGGACACTCACTGGCAGGACCGACTTGTGTCCATTTGCCGCTGCGTCCCGTCTGAGGCGTGAGGGACGGTGTGTCCCTGCCTCCACGACCCAGGGCTGTGGTTGCAAGGGTGCTGCGGGGGGGACGTCTGCCCCAGGAAACGCCGCTCCCTGAAGCTGTGCAGAGCGTTCATTTATTTGGGCCAAAACTACACTCTGTTCAGATCGAAGTATTCCCGAAGGAAGCTTCAGTTAGTCGTATTTTTTTATGAGACCATATAGCCCCTAGCTCTCCAGGCACAAGTTGCAGTGACTTTGGAGTTTTCCAGAAGGCTAACTCTCCTGAGGCAATGCTGAGAACAAAACCCACTAACCTCCAGTTAAATCCAGGTTTACAATTGCTAACCTTAAATCACCAAGTCACATCTTTAAAACTAGAGTTGTGCAGGGAAGGAATTCGCTGAGATTCAGCACAGACTCCGCTCAGCTGACCATTCAGAGAGGCACTGGCCCCTTATCGTTAACTAAAGAACATTAATCTTTGGGCTTCATGGCTTTCTTACGGACTTGGAGCAAAGTAAGATTTAAAGTTCCTTGAAAGAAATACAAAGTGCTCATATCACTTTCACAGTCAGGACAAAAGTAAAGCTAGTGCACCAGTATAGTGCAAAATAAAATACCCGTCATTATATTCGATAACAATTTCATTTGATAATAAAATGCAAGTATAACATCTATCAAGCACTAGTATCTTGATGATAGTATTGTTATGAATTACAAGTAAAAGGAAAACTTTGGTTTAATATTCTAAAGTGACAAACCCATTATCATTCAGTAACACGGAACAGAATCAAAAGATCCAAAAACTATAGGAAGCTTTTGTGAGTAATTAGAATTTCAGTAGATTGTGTGTTTCCTTATTTCCGTAAACTCCAGAAACGTTTACTTAAATGCCACCTCACACGTGTAGGGGGAACCAGCTTTTCATGTAAGAGCAAAACTGGATGAGCCACCCTGAAGCCACGGGCAGTCAGTAGCCCAGCCGCCCACGGGTATCACAGGCGGGCCTGGGGGTGCCAGACCACGAAGGACTCGCTGAGCGCAGTCACCATGGTGGTTCAGGATGTCGGCTGCGGATGCTCAGGTTACCTAAGAACCAGAATATGTTTACAGGATCCGTAAACTCCATTAGCTGATGCATTTAGAACGAGGGCATTCAGGAAACCGTGTTCAGTTCTGACTGAGTTGGATCTCTTTAAGGGCACTAGCTTTTCAGTTTTGTTAAGGTGAGCAGTCTAGAATATGGCGGTATTCAAGTCAGGACATCGTTCTGCGTTATTTTGATGGGAATTCAGTTATGTATCTTCCCAAGGCATCTTCAAGATTTAAAATCTGTTCCTTTTGTGTTTATAGTATATATTTCTTTATAGGTCTGAGACACTTCAAACCCTCGAAAACGAAGTAGCATTAAAGTGCTGAGCCACCTAACTTGATAAAAGTTGAGTCCTATTTTCTTACCGAAGCCAGGGAGATACTTTGGAGCTTCAACGTTGCTTCTAAACACTTTGTGGGTGACTCGGGAAGCCAGTGGGTGGTGGCAGGCGTGGAGTCCGTGGCCGCTGGAGGTAGTGGGCTAGGGTTTGCGGACACACGTCGTCAGCACTGGTCTCAGGAAGCCCCGCACAGTTAGGAAAGAGAACAGGAATTCAGGACAAGTTAAGTGACAGACAGTACCAGGCACAGCGGTGCAAAACCAGCTGCAGATGGGGCTGCGTAATGTCTAGCCCGTTCTGAGCCCAAGGACACAGTAAATTCCAAAGTACTTTCAGAAGTAATCAAGGGAAGCAGAGTACCTATCCCTTGCAAAACAGAGGAAGGTCCTGTGCTTTCAAAGAAAACACCCTGTTTCTCGTGCTCCTTGATACCCGTCTTCACTGCAGGAGTGGGGGTGGTGGAGCATCCCACGCTGACTGGCGGTCCTGACGGGGCCGCCAGCCTGAACAGAAGCGTCTGCTCGCGGCTCTGCAGAGTCAGCACCTGTTCAGTAACTGGTGTGAACAGCGGGTGAAGGACTCCAGAAAAGAGGCCGCGTTCCCCTCTCCTTCCTAAGTCCGTATTGTTTCGTTCCTGGTGCCAAGTGTTCCTCTTCTAAAGCTCCGACTCCCCTCTGAACGCCCACACTTCACTCGAGATGAGCAGCCACTTGCACCACCGTGGGCGCGGCCGGCGAGGCGGGACCCCTGACCTCCTCCCTCTCCCAGCTCTGCAGACGGCTCGGTGTATCCCAGACAGTCTGAGGCCTCGTAGGAAAGGCCACGCGAGCCGAGGCCACGGGGCAGGACTAGGAAGGTGACCCAGGCTTGGCCCAGCCAGTCCACAGGGTCCTGCATTATCTCAGACGTGTAGCTGTGAATCCTGAGCCCCAGCACACTGTTCTGTACGTTCGTGATAAATAACCTGCCAGCCACGGAGGCGTCTGGGTTGTAGCTGAATTAACTGTCAAGATATCAAGTAGGTGACATCATACAGTGCGTCACAAAATCCCTGACACCGTTAGACACTCAACTGTTAGGGTTACTTCACTATTTCCCTACTTTCTTTTTTTTTTTTTTTTTTTTTTTTTAAATGTTTTTTTTTNAGAGAGACAGCGTGAGCAGGGGAGGGTCAGAGAGAGAGGGAGTCACAGACTGAAACAGGCTCCAGGCTCCGAGCTGGCAGTCAGCACAGAGCCCGACGCGGGGCTCGAACCCACGAACCGTGAGATCATGACCTAAGTGAAAGTCGGATGCTTAACCGACTAAGCCACCCAGGTGCCCCACTATTTCCCTACTTTCTGTTGAATATTCCTCAGGTGGCTCTAGCTCTGAAACGTATAGTTGTTACATAATTGTGGAAACAATAGCGATAAGGCAGGAAAAGGAAACTAAAGACAGACGTCAGGGAGGGTCCGCTTGCAGTTGAGGTGGTCGTGCCTGTGGGAGGTCGGAAGCCCCCAACCCTTCTAGACTGGTAAATGGAGTAAGGGGGCAGGGCAGACAAGGTACATTTAATCGTTTCCGGGTCTGTGTATTAGCAGTGAACAGTTGAAATCTGAGAAGTTTTTTAAACTGTGTTTCCAGTAACATAAAGCGAATGTGGCCTCACTGACGAAATGTTTGTGGGACGTGGATGCTGGAGGCTGTCAGGTGCTGCTGAGAGGAGCCTTTCAAGGTCCAAGAGAGGGCCGCCCGGTGGCTCAGCCAGTTGAGCGTCTGACTTTTTAATTTCACCTCAGGTCACAACCTGAGCCCCATGTGGGTTTGAGCCCCACGTCAGGCTCTGACAGCACAGAGCCTTCCTGGGGTCCTCTCTCCCTCGGCCCTTCTGCTCCCCATCTCAAATTTAAAAATTAACAGTAATAAATAAAGGTGCAAAAGAACGTTTGTGACTGGAAGGCAGCGTGGCCAAAAGCTGACAAGCTGATTCCGGAATTTACATGGAGAGGCAGGGGAATTAGAATGGTCAAAACCATTTTAAAAAGGGGAACAAGGAAGGAAGACTGTACAGTAGTAACCGATGCAACAGAGCATGGGCAGAAGACAGACACGTGGGCCCCTGGGGTCGGCAGCCCGGAGAGCGAGCCCCGGTGTCCCAGCTGATCTTTGACAAGCGTGAAGGGAAATCCAAAGAGGGGTCGTCTTGTCAACAGATGCCATCGGAACCACTTGGAAGATGGAGCCGCCACCCGCTCCTCACATTCTGGGGAAACACGCTCGGAATGAGGGACTTACATGTAAAACGAGTAGCTTCTGGGAGAAAACGGCGAAGACCATGTGCATGACCTTGGGGTAGGCATCGTTTTTAGATACGGGGTCAGACACATGATTCAAAAAGGAAAAACCTGGTAAGTTGGACTTTATCATAATTAAGAACTTTTGTTCCATGAACGACACTGTTAACAGAATGAAAGGGCAGGCAACGGACTGGGGGAGAATGCTTGGAAATCATACTGGTGAGAGAGGACTTGTGTGCAGAACGCAGTAAAACCTGGCCTCTGAGCATAAATCGTTTTGGGAACACACTTGTAACTCACCACCCTTGTGTGTCAAAGCTAACTTCCCCACAAGAAATAGTGGAAAGTCCAGTGATTCATTCCACAACCCCAAAATTCATATAAAAGTTATTAATACTGTGATGTAATACAAGATAATAAGAAAAATACAAAATAGAAGAGTAAATTAATGTGCACTTAACTTTGGAAACCTTTGTGGCTGGCGTGAGGGAGACAGGAGAGAGGGTTATTGCATAGCACGATTTTCACTGTCACCAGCGGAATCACTGCTCTCCACTCCGTGGAACCTTTCTCTGCGTGGGGGCCGTGGTACACGCTCGCACAGCGTTAGTAAACTCTGGCTGTAGACTGCTTTCCGTGCAGCTGCAGTCAGGCAGCAGAGGGAAGCGTCCCCATCTGCAGGAGCCTGACCTAGAAGGATGCAGAGCCTTCCTAAGCTCACTCCTGACGGAAAAGCAAAGGACTGTCCTGAGGTGCTTGGAAGTGACAGAGATACACTAGTGCCAGTTGTGGGCACGTTCCAATACCCTGGAAAATCACTGGTTTCTGCCAAACACCGCGGCCTGAGACCAAGCATCAGAGCTTGGGAGACGATCCCCCACCGTCCAGCAGCGAGACGGAGCGAGAGCCCTTGGCTCCGTGTGATCACGTGACATTCTGCACCAGGTTCTCCTCATACTTCCGGACATCACTCATGTATCAAGTTAAAATTTATTAGAAATGTTTGATCGTCTTGCAGAACACTCGTAGAACAAGTTGCAACCCAAGGTTTTACTGTATGTAAGTGTAAAGAACCCTCAAAACTCAAAAAGAAGACAACCCAATTTTTTAAATGGGCAAAAGATGTGAACTGACGTCATACCCACGGTCACGGTGTGCAGATGGCAAGTGAGTGTCTGTGAAACGCCCACCACCGGCGGGTAGAGGCAGGGGCCACGACCACCACCCCCACCCCCACCCCGGGCAGCAGGGTCCAGAGCCCAGGCTGCTGACGGGACTCGTCATGATGGCACAGCCACCCGGAGCGTGGCTGGGAGCCTCATGAAGTTGGACACGCATGGAGCGCGTGAGCCAGCAGTCCCGTGGGGCCTTCACCAGAGAGAAGCGAAGACTTGTGTTCACGTGGGGTCCCATGGATAATGATTATGGGAGCTTTGCCATAATTGCCCAGAACTGCAGCCGCGCACTGGGAGAGCGTTCAGTGAGAAGAAAAGCCGTCAATCCAGCAACATGGGTGAGTCTTAAATGCATTTTGCTGTGCAAAGGAAGCCAGGCTCAAAAGTCCATAAGATCCTGTTCACCCGCCAGCCTGGGAAATGCAGAGTGATGGGGACAGAGGACGGGGGCGGCCGCCCCGGGTCCAGGTGGGGAGGCTGAGGGGGCAGCTGTGCTGAGGACGTTGCCCCTGGGGGTCCCTTGGTCTCAAACCACATGACCTTCGGGCGGATCAACCTTTCCCAGAATTTACTTGATTTTGTTTATTTACTGTTTGGGTTGGCGTCTAATAGAAAAGTGCTTTCAGGCCTTTAAGGTCTAATATTTAAATATAGTAACAAGTTTTACTGAATACTCCATAGTTCTGGCTTTATGCTTACTCTCTTTTATCCGCATGAGCACATGCTGTTATCGCCTCTGCTCACCTAGAAGGAAACCACTCACCAAAGTTAGCTACGTGCCCCGGGACGTCCCAGGGAGGACTTAAACCCGGGGCGGCCTGGTGCCTGGACAGCTCCTGCTGAAGGAATGTCCCGTGTGTATGAGGCAGGGGTGTGAAGGGCTCCGCCAGCCTGTGACAGACTCGTTCTTCCCTCCAAAAACCGAAGGAAAGACGCGTGGGCCCAGGAGAGCCGCTGGACAGCTGGCATGGATTGTCTCTCGGAGCCATGAATAAGCATCACATCTGGACACTAGTGCGTTACGCGTATTTTTCAGATTTTTTTCTCCAATTATTTGTTGTACTGACAGTTTTCGTGCCCACCTGTAGTGTCTTGCCTTAGTACAGCCTGCTTGGACACAAGATCTCTGACAGGGGCGCACACAGGCATGTTCTCTGCCAGACACCGTGGGAGGAGTTTGTTGCTTCTAATACAGGAAACAGCACAGATACCCCCTTTGTATCTTTAGCTCTATAAACTGATCATCATGTCACATAAATAGTATTGAAGAGATGTCAGCAAATCTGGCAACAAACTAAACCTCTTATTTTTACATCAGAAGATGTAAGTTCTCTCTTAAAATAGTCAAATGAAATTGGCCATGTACTTAATTACGTATGCATTTTATCGAAGATCACACACCTGCTGGTATCCAGAGAAATGTACTTGGGAAATCCGTACTAAAAGCACCTACATAACAATTAATGCTTTCTGCCTTTTTTAAAATCAGCATTGCCTTCCAAGAACATGTTATATTCAAGCCTCACTTTTCACACGTGCTAAGGACTCGGGCTCAGTGTGTAACTCAGGAAGCTGCTGGAATGGCCACACATGTCTTGTGGCCTGCATCTCCTCTGTGACCCAGAGGTGTAGACGGCTCCAGTGTAGACTGCTGTGGCAGTTGTCATGGAAACGCCCCCGTCCCTTGCTGGCGTCTGATGGCACTTTGACTCAGAGACTGCCCACCTCACGGGGCAGGGGGACCCCAGCCACGGACACAGCTTCGGGTTCTGGTCATTTGCAGTTGACTCTTGAACCTTGTGGGGTCAGGGGCACTGACACCCTGTATGGTCAGAAACCTGAGTATCACTTTTGACTCCTCGACGTGTAACTCTTCACTCATTAAATAAACACCTGATTAACACAGACTTTGAATATCACATGTCGTATACGTAACACAGATCACAATAAAGTAGGCCAGAGGGGAAAAAATGTTAAGAAAATTACAAGGAGGGGCACCTGGGTGGTTAAGTTGGTTGAGCGTCTGACTCTTGGTTTCGGCTCAGATCATGATCTCACGGTTCATGGGTTTGAGCCCCACATGGGGCTGTGTGCTGACAGCTCGGATTCTCTCTCTCTCTCTGCTCCTCCCTCGCACGCTCTCTCAAAATAAATACATGAACTTAAAAAAAATTTACAAGGACAAGAAAATACACTTTCACTACCATGTTTATTTACAAAAGAAATCCACGTGTAGGTGGACGCACACAGTTGACACCCATGTCAGGGGTCAGCTGTACCATCAGCACAGCTAACCTGCTACGGGGACTCACGGAACGTGCCAGACTGTTCGTGTTCCTGCATCTGTGAATGGAGACGATGTCCAACCACGACGCTGCCTGGATGCGGGTGTGCCAGCAGGGACGTGGGAGAGATGCAGCTGTCTGTGTGAGCACACGCATCTATCGGGTGGTGGTCCCAAGGGGCCCCGGCCCAGCATCCGTCGTTCTCACAGCCTTGTCTGAGGAGCATTGCCTTGGGCCAGCCCGTAGCGCCAGCAGGTCAGTGCGGTCGGTTAATGGCCCCGTCCTTCTCTCTGGGGTGTGGATGTCTTCACGTCGGAGGTCAGGCAAGACCGCAGGCCCCACTCTGCCGTCCTGGACGCGGCCCACCCAGCCGGGTCCAAGTTGTAGACGTGAGGGCGGCTGTACAAAAACCATTCCGTCGTTGCTCTCAGACCCCTTTCCAGAAAGGCTCTCAGGGATTGTAAATTCCAACTTGAGCAGTGATGGACACTCCGTTTTCATCTGGAGAAACGAAAAAATAAATATGGGAACATTCTAAAGAAATAAGGGTGCAAAGTGTTGTTTATGACAAAGTCTTCAGCTGCTAGTGCACTTCAGCGTTTGCTCATGCGCATGCACTCCTGGGAAGCCAGGGAGCGTGTGGCTCCAGGTCACCAGAGGTCAAATGAGAACATACAGCCGAGGCCGCAGGTACACACGGGGCGGGGGGGGGGGGGGGGGCACGCAGGCGTGAGAGGGGTTGCACTTGGGCCCTGAGGGCCTTTTAGCATTTTTCCTCACTCCTGGCTGTTTGAGAACCTGTGTGTCACGCGTGTTGTTCCGCTCTGTTAATTAAGATATTCCACTGTTTACCCCTAGGGGAGATCCTTGTCTTTTAAGACCTTCCTCGTCTGGGTTTTGATCAGCATTTACCAAGGTAAGACCGGCCTGCCTGGCCGGGACTGACACGCGCGTCTCCTGCTCGCAGTGTTCTCCCCTCGGTTCAATTCCAGAAGGTTACGGTTTCAGCAGCAGCCCCAGACCCCGTCACGGTGCGGCGTGGACGGCCGCTTTGGCGGGCACGTGTCACCGGAAAACTGACCTGTTTTTAATGAAATGTGAACCCAGGAAAACCTGCACAAGCTCCTCCACCTTGTGTGCCCCACACAGGGTTTCTCTCGGGGAGCGAGACCTCCCGTACGTAGCAGGAGCGCGTAGCCACCTGTGCTGGGTGCTCCCGATCGGGGGGGGGTCACGGTCCGTGAGGTAAGCCGCGTGTCCCCTGCTTGCGTGTTGCAGGCGGCATCCTCATGTACGGGGCGCTGCTCCTGTTTGAGTCCGAGTTCGTGCACGTGCTGGCCATCTCCTTCACGGCACTCATTCTCACCGAGCTGCTGATGGTGGCCCTGACCGTCAGGACGTGGCACTGGCTGATGGTGGTGGCAGAGGTCCTCAGCCTGGGCTGCTACGTGGCCTCGCTCGCTTTTCTGAATGAGTATTTTGGTAAGTTGCCTTGGAAATCTTACTTGTGTGTTACTGGTTTGTGAACGTTTTTATTGTTGCTTCTTAATACATCGTCTTAAACTGCAGATCACAGTAAACCCCCGTCGGGAAGCTTCACAACACAAAAAGCTTATTTCAGGAAAGATTAAAGTCCTTGTAATAATTTTAAAAATTCAGATGTTAGCACTTTGGCTTTTTTTTTTTTTTTTAATGTTTTATTTATTTCTGAGAGAGAGAGAGAGACAGCGTGAGCAGGGGAGGGTCAGAGAGAGAGGGAGACACAGAATCCGAATCAGACTCCAGGCTGTGAGCACAGAGCCCGACTTGGGGCTCGAACCCACAAACCCTGAGATCATGACCTGAGCCGAAGTCGGACGCTTAACCGACTGAGCCACCCAGGCACCCCAGCACCTTGGCTTTTTAAAAGATACTGAAGATGCACCGTTTCCAGGAGTCTCGCGGTTCGTCTTTCTTCCCAGGGGACACAGAGGCCACAGGGCCCCACGAGCAGCAGCATGTTGTGTCAGAAGCACCGTGGGCACTGTGGTGGGGTCACTGGGCACGCACACCCCCACTCTGCCATCCCCGACCTGGTGACCTTGATGGGGTGGCCTCACAGAATATGTCCCGACACGTGGCTGCTGGGCCACACTCAGACTGTGGCTCTGGCTGCCAGCAGGCTGGTCCTGGTCACCCTGTCGTACAGATGGGAGGGAGGGTGGCCCAGAGTTGCCCTGACCTCTGTAACCTCATGTGACCTGTCCATGCTGCTTCCCCAGAAAACCGGGCCGAGGACCCACTCGGCTGCCTCGAGGTGCGTCCCTCGGGAGGAACCCCCACCAGCGAAGCCCCGAGCCGCCGCCTTGGGGCACTGTCCTCACTGCGCAGCAGCTCTGTGTCCCCTGTCCCCAATCTCTGCTTTCCAGCCGGAGTTGGAAAGTGCCCAGTGGCTGGTTCGGTGGGCGCCGTCCCAGAAGGGGTAGGTGTAGCCCGTGTGTCACACTCCCGTGTGGCCGTACAGACGGCTCTGCGCACCCCCACGCCCACGCCCACCCTTGTGACATCAGCCGGTGGCCGACCTCCCAGCGGCCAGGAAACCCCAACGGCTCCGGACGCGCCCTCGTGCTGCCGCGGTCCGCACAGCCCAGCCCTTCCCTTGAAGCCACTCACTGAGGGTGCCGTTCCTGTCACCTGCCACGCGCATGGCCACGAGGCTGGACGCTGAGCCCGACGGCCGGCCTGACACACACCACGGAGGTTCCCGCCAGCGCGCCGAGGCTCCTGGTGAACGGGGAGCAGACAGCTGGGGAGAAGCACAGACAGACAGACAGACAGACAGCCCCGGAGGAGGGCACACACCTCAGAAGAACGAGAGGAGCTGCGTCCGTGGCCCAGGGCGGGGGAGGGGGTTGTGTGATAACAGACGCGGCAGGGGTGGAAAACCCAGTCGGGGAGCCCTCCCCAGGGGTGAGCAGAGGTGGGGAGCGGCCGGGGTGCAAACCGGGAGGAGCACAGGCCGCGCCGGGGAGGCCTGCCCTCGACCCCCAGCGTTCCCGGAAAGAGCGGAGAGCACGGGGACGATGGAGGAAACAGCACGAGAAAGACCCAGATCGGAAATCCCTGTGTCTGCAGGCGGGAGAGCCCCCCCCCACACCAGACCCACCTTCCTCGGAAGGTCAGACGCCCCCAACGACAGAAAGTACCTGGAGCTCCGAGGGAGAAGCCAGAGCAGCCTCTGCCGGGGGTTGGGAGCGTGCGGGGCCGTCTGGACGCTGCCAGTCGGTGCCCGCGTTCCGAGGCCTGCGCGCAGCCGAGCAGGAGGGCGGCTCCGGCCCAGCCACGGGGCTGCGGAGAGAGGCGGGATGGCGCGGACGGACACGCAGACTGTGAAACCACTTCCGGGAGCATCGTCCGAGGCGGCGGCCGGAGCAGAAGCTGACTCCGCTGTCGGCAGCGTCCTGGGCCCTGCGCTCGGGAGCAGGCCGGCGGCCCCTCAGCAGGAGAGCCGGGGCCTCTCTGGGGGCAGGTCGTGGTCCCGGCGTGGGTCGTGCCCAGGGGCAGCACCAAAGAGGCGTCCAGGGCGCGTGCTGAGGCCACGTGCCGTGGAGCATCTCTCCTGTGGCTTCTCGGGCCTTCTCAGCCGCTGCCGCGCAGATGCAGGACCCCGTAGGAGGGGACGTCTGGGCGAGGGGCACGGGCGTGGCAGGCGCCTCCCAGAGCCCAGTCTTGACGTTGGTGCCTGTGGATTGCGACAGGCGGGGGGAGCTGAAGGCAGCCTCCTGGGGCGCTGGGGTCGAGGGCGGGAAGGGGCCCTGGGGTCTGCGTGACTTGCCCACCTTCAGATGCTGGCGGGCCCTCCCTGAGCAGCCGTCAGGTCAGAGCATTGCCTGTAAGGACGTCGCCGCGGGTCAGGAAATTCGTCTTGAGGCAAAAGCCTTGATCCTTGAAAGCCAGAACGCCCTGTGTCCGTTAGTCAGCAGCTCCAGGCCACGGCAGGCGGCGCTGGGGCCACTTGCCCTCCCCAGGAGAGAAGAGACGCTCTTGGAGTGTGTGACACGATGTCTGCACAGGTGTCTGCGGGGAGCGGGACGGTCACGTACAGCGGCCGCCTCGGGAAACCCGTCTGTCCCTCGTGTCGGAACCAGTCACCAGCGGGCCCCGGCAGCTTCCGCGGTGGGCGCTGTGAATCTCGTTCCCTGTCAGTGACGTTACCGTGTTAGGAAGGCCAGAGAAGTGCACAGTCCCGACATAAAAGGAGAAGCGATTTCACATCTGAGTGTCCAGCCAGTGGCAAATAGATGGATAGAAAAAATATAAAATGATAATGCTTTTGTATTAAAAGAAACATCCGCCAAAAAAAAAAAAATTGGTACATCACGCAAGAAGTGACTTCACGGTATAATACCTTGTTACTTTAAGAATAAGCATTTAGTATGATTTTCTACGCGAACACAAAGTAATGCGCTCAGCATCGAAGGGATGTTGGTTTGTTTTCATGGTGTTTCTTTTTAAGTTTGCGTGCTTCCTTCATGCGGTGGTGCCTGCGGGACACAAAGCAGAATAGCACAGCTGGAAAAGCGTTCAAGCCCCGTGACTGGTCGTGGCTAAAATGAATATAATGTGGACATAAAGCTGAATTATAAGGCAGTGAGGACAAAGCCAGGTCACTCGGGGAAGATCACCTCACGGTCAAGGTGCAGGTCTCATTGTGTGCACACGGCACAGACAGCCTTTCATGGGGCCTGGAAACAGCCGTGCATGGC